AGAAAATAATGTCTTCCAGTTAATATTGTTGATTTCATACCTGACCCAGCATGATTTGGATTGAATAATGTTTTTCATATTTGAAAATCAAAAAACGTAGCATATTTAATATAATTTATTTTAAATGGATAACAAGGATGATAGACTGATAACAATTCGTTCTCAGAGAATCAAAAATTCTAAAAGGAACCAAGTGGCTGGCTAAGAACAATACTTAATTTGTATGACAGGCAAGGTGTTGATAATTGATAGATAACACCACCATGAGCATGTCTGTGGATTTGACAGGAGGAGAATTGGATAAAATTTTAAATGCCAGTGAGAGGTAAAAAGGTTATTTAAGGAATGTTTCTAAAGTGAACCAAAGGATATGAGAACCAGGTATCCAGTATCTGATTTTGGACGGAAAGGAAATAAAATCTTTCTACAGAGATGTCAGGATTGAAAATAATAACTACTTGACTTAATTTTTTTTTTTTTAATAAAAATACACGGCGAAATCTTGACATTTAGCCAGACAATTGTCACCATAATGTAAGTTGCAAAATTTTCCCAATTGTTTATTCAACTTTCAGACCAGGAAAAAGAAATCAACACTGGTGTCAATTCACTTATGATGTGATAGCATTTTGAACAATAATTTTTTTTTTTAAATTAGTCTTCGCTCAATTGTGAAGGTGACAGGTGCAGAAGAACAATCAAGGAAGGAGGAGGAGCTGCCCAAGGGTAGCAGGCACAGATGAGATGCTAAGGAGAGGAAGAAGCAGCTGTGGGGAGACTTCCAAATTGAGAAATAATTAATTTCTCAAGACCAAAAACAATGAAGATGACATGTGGAGGAAATACCAACTTCCTAACTGCATTCACAGCTGCTCCCCACCCCCAGTTTTTGGCAGACATCAATAAATACAAATGTATGAAGCAAATTCAGTGAGACAGGAGAGAGATTGTCCCGAGATTCTGTTCCAGTCGCTGAGCGTGAGACAACGTATGTAACTATCTGCCGACATGAACCTTCGACATCAGGCTTGAGCCAAACAAACTTCTGCATGCCAAACCTTACCAGCTTAACCAAGTGTTGCATCTGATTTAAGAATGGGTTAAGTTGACAAACACCTGTATGCTAACACCTAGACCCTAACAACTATTAGCAAACCATTGTACACAGTACTTGATATTGTGACGGACACAGATAGCCTAAACACGCATACACGCATATATTAAGGTTAATTTCCGCCTAGCAACAGAATGGGGGTCACGTGGAAGTCTTGTGACATTTTGGGAAAGCAAGTCAAGAGGTTGACTGACCCAATTACTCGTAGCGACAAATGTCTAAACAGAAGCTAGACAGGGGACTGATGTAAGCTGGAATTTGTGCCAAAACTTAAGACATGTGAGAGTCAAAAATTTACTTGGGAGTTAGTTGCTATCTTGACTTTGAAGGAGCAAGACCTGAAATCGAAGCACTGATAATTTATGAACAGAAAGATAAGACTAATTTGACAATGATGGAACTTGTCCGATTCAACCCAGGCAACTCTGGACAAGAAATATAACAAGTATTTCTGTTCGATAACCCCAAATTGAAGATGCAGAGAAATTTGTACGCTGAGAATACAGTCTGCGTTTGAAGAAAAGAGAAAACCAGAGAGGAAGAAAGTGTATACCTCTGTTACAAGTTGAATTGTGTAAAGAAGAAGAAAGAAAGAAAAAGGAAAAGCAGAGAGGAAGAAAGTGTATACCTCTGTTACAAGCTGAATTGTGTAAAGAAGAAGAAAGAAAGAAGAAAACCAAAGAGAGGAAGTGTATATCTCTGTTGCAGTGAGTTGGGTTCGGAAACTGAAACTGTATACAGAAGAAGAAAGAAGGAAAGAAAGAAGAAAACAGAGAGAGGAAGAAAGTGTATATCTCTGTTACAGCCGGACAATGTGTGAAATTGTATTTGTGTCAAGAAAAGAAAAGAAAGGACAATGATAAAAAAAGAGAACTGAATATAAAAGATAAGTAATCATATATTTTGGACCTGTATTAGAAAGATATACATACATCCATAAATATTATGTTCTTACAAACACCTTTCCACATGTCAAAATAATAATTGTAACTCCTATCCCATCTCTTTTGTGTATGCGTTGATTTCTGCATTCGTAGTAATTCATACTTATATTTTTGTACGTTCGGGTTGAGTCGAATCCATTTAGAGTTAGGCGAATTTTGATATCCCAACGTAAGTCTTGAGATCTGGTCATCGGATATTTTACTCATGCTTATATTTTCTTTTATTTTAATATTTGTATATCTGTATATATTAAAGTTCTTGTATCAAAATTCGCTAAGCCTTATCGTTCTTCCTTGAATTGTGGATCAGTATTCGTGTTGAAACCGAAGCAAACCTGGGAAAAGATTACTGTTCGATTATCCTAATTGAACAGTGCTCTTAAAATATTTTTTTTGTTTACCAATTGTCCATTGTCATGATCTGGGAGAGATAGCCTGTATCTCTCCATAGGTGTGAGAATGTATATATCTTCTGGTCGGCATATGATCACCTTATAAACCCATTCATCGACTAGGGCATATGACAATATAAAAATAGTAAATTTTTTTTTTATATCATTTTGAGTGTTGTTTTTCTATTTTACTGTATGACTTCACTCTGCTTGAACCAGCCCAACATGAAGATACCTTCGACAAGTCAATCTTGGCCTCCTTATAATTAACCAGTCACAATGTGGGATAAGGCAGGTCAGGATCAAAGAGATCACTCCATTGATCAGCCACAATACTAGATGTCTTGGACCACCAGGAAGGGTATAGAGTTACAATTGATTCCTCTGTCTTAATGCTTTAGCAACCATACTCAACTTCATTAAATAGAACTGTAAGTTGAAAACAGCCATTGTGATTTTTCTTCCTAGCATAAGGCAGTTTGAACCAAGAGCAAAGGTTATTCAAAGGTTAGTAGCAAAACATCAGCATATACCAAAAGGAGTGAAATTATAAGAAAGAAAATCAAAATTAACAATACTTACTGGTAACTGGTTGACTGAATCATGCTGTTCAGACTGTAAGAATAAAAACAACAAACAAGCAAAACTACAGGGTGGCTTCATTCTTATAAGCAATCAATGAATTGGGAAAGCAAATTGTTATTAATTTGATTTCTATCTGAATTATTCAACAGATAAAACTATTTCTAAAAATGGAGACTATAGAGCATATGTAGATTACTAGTTTCTTTTAGGATCCAGCAGTCAAGAGAAGTCAGTTCCCAGTAAAGCTCAAAAACAGAAGAGTTTTGGTCAGAATTCTAGTTCAGTCTCTAATTGTATGACACTAGAGATTCTTGAAGCATTATAAAACATTTGTTGAAATGACATATTAATCTTTATTATTAAAGTTTACATTTTGAACTTTGACTGAATGGCAAAAATCTTTAAAATTGTTAAAAATTAACATTGTTGTTTCTGAAAATGTTTTTTCTTTTTAAGAAGACAACACCTTGTTCTTTATCTAATTTTAGCAATATTTGAATCTACTCAAGTTTAATTGTCACTGGAAAAGGTAAAAATAAATTGAAACATTTAATGGAAAGGAAAAAGTTAGGATTATGTTAAAAATATCATTAAGAAAATATTTTTCAGACAGAAAATGTAAATATGAGTTAAGGAATTAACTACATCATCAGCAAATAATGATAACATGCACAATTTGTAATTCAGAAAATAAAAATATAACACTGACAATAAGGTTAATAAAAACATCAGCAAAGGACAAAAATGTTTATAGCACCAAAATATATAAATAATTAATATAATGGTTTCTGAAATTGTATAAATTTTCATTTAAAGTAGTGATTTTTCAAAAAATATGTTCTTCATTTTTAATAATTCTAAAACATAAATATTACATATCTATATACAGGCATCCCTCAGTTAATATGTTTTCGATTATGCACTAAAATTTGTATATACCAAAATTTGATTAGTGGATACATAATACTCAATTAGTGTGGTAAAACATTCTTCAGTTTAACCATAGTAATTGAAAATTGATTTTTTTTATAGTTACTGATGTACAAATTAGCTGCACTAATTTTTTAATAATGATAATCTAAATTTAGAAAAATAGTATTGAGTTGGTATGAAGAAGAAATCTGCAAAGCCATTCAAATCTATGCAAAATATTTACTTTTACTATATTCATTACCTTACTAGTTATTAATAATAATGGCATATATGATTTTTTTCTATTATTATTGTTCTTTCACTGAAAGATCTTGAGTTATTTTCCTTGCATTGGTTTTGCCAGTGCAAGGAAGTTAACTGTAGTACAGAAAAATGTTAAAGATGTTGAAGCACTTGGCATATCCTATGGTGTATTTCATCTCAATAATTATAATATTTTAAAGACAGAATATCAAAAATATGAAAAAATAATCATCTGGATTCACTCTTAAAATTTTATCTATGTACCAAAAAAATACTGTAATATAAAGAAATTCATCTTTTTTTCTTTTACAATATACCAATATTTTTTGCTATTTTATTTACAAAAAAAGTATTTCAATTGAAAACTAAATAAAAAATGAAAAATCTCAATTGCAAATATCTTAAAGAACAAATCCACATAAACTAAAAAAAATATGAGACAAAACATAATTTGAATACAACTTTTTACTCATCAGATAGTCAATCTTATGTAAATGTCTTCCTTTCAGTTGCATTATAGACTATAAAATTGAAATGTATTAATCAGACCCACTCTATTGTTACTGGAGAGAAAGACTCCAAAGAAAAAGTAGCTATGTTTAAATGAACATATACCTGCACATGACACAGTTCCTAATTAAAATGCTAGGTTGAAAACATGTGAAGAGAAACATCACTATCTTCAGTTCACAGGGCCAACTGCTTATGTTATTTTTAGTACAGTTTTAAAGGTCCAGATGAGAGAAGTTTCTTAAATATTTTATTTGCAAATCTGGTGAAAAATCTATTAACTTTTCTTCAAATATTCATAAAGATATGTAAAAAAAAACATAAAAAATCAATGGCTAAAAAGAAAAATCAATTTTAAAATACAAGCAAATTTAAATTTGTATAATAATGTATAATTATGGAATTAACTGAAACCTTATACATTTATCAAAATAACAAACACTAAAGTTTTACATTCATGCTGAAATAAATATCATCAATCATGTCTTAACAAACAACATTAAATGCAAAGGACAGTTATTTATGCAATTGGAGAGGGAAAATATCTTATAAAATAGAAACATTTCCAAAATCCAAAACAATGAGCATTCCATTTCAATCATCTTCACTATCCTCACCTCAACTCTCAAAGGCTTTCTGATTTTTGGAGGAGGAATTGATTCTTTCACTAATGCTTGATGCTCTTCACCAGATTTTTCAACAAGTGTTGTGGCAGGATTTTCTGAAATCATGTAATAGGCAAAACATTAAAATATACAAAAGTCAGCAGAAAGAAATAAAACCAAAATAATGTCTTAATAACTGAGAAATATTAAATCAAATTTTTCAGATCAAAGATCTAAATCATAGTTAAGCTCTTATGCTATTTCCAAAAGAGAATTTTATATGTAAGGTTTTTTGAAGAATATAAAATTCCATTTTTGTTACAATATAAATTGACACAGGAAAATGAAGCAAATACCTTAAAAATGAGAAACAACTATAAAATTTAATTTTAGATAATACTTTAGGGACCTTTCATTCTACTTTCAAATGATATTTTTTTTTAAATCATAAAAATGATTATTAATTTTATCAAACATTATACAAATTAGCAAGAGTAAATTAATGAGAATATTGGAAATGGACTTTAGTATCTATTATAAAATGTGTTTCTTAGATTGTTAATGTAATTTTGACAATTGTATACAACCCAACTCTTATATGGACATTATCAGGTGAAAGCAGGGTAATGTTAAATTGTCATAAATTAATGCAATATTTCTGAGTACTTATTTATGAAGACACTATCTGATAAATTTGAAAATGAAATGTTTAAGATTTAAGAAACTATTTTAGAACATTATCACATGGAGTAATATTATTAGCCAACTGTTTTAGATGCCAACTGAAATGTTAATTAAATCTTAACCATTTTCCTCTTTTTCTTTTTTAGATTCTGCTGCTTTCTTCTTTTTCATTATCTCAGCAAAAGGATCTGCTCCACCAAACAAAGACACACCACCAATGGGCTTCTTAACAAGTGGAGGGGCTGCATCTGATTTCTAAGTTAGAAAAATGAAAGAGCTTAATTAGAAATTCGAAAGGAATATTGAACAAATGTATTAAAAACATGCATAAAATGGTAAGTAATATGATGCAATTAAGTTATTTAGGCAAAGATTGTAACAATTGCCTGCTTCAGAATAATCACTATTTGTAACACTAAAGACATTAAAATTCTTATATTTTTAATGATAATGAGAAGTTCTATAAAAAGATTAGTATAAAATATAAAAAACAAGAACTTGCTATTTTTTATTAATGTGTTTCAGAAATATTCAGTGTACATTTCGCTAGATAGGTTTGAAAGCTGTTGACATTCATAAAAAACTGAATTTCAGTTATTTGATTGAAATTTCTAATGTATGCTTATGTAACCCCATTTAAAACAATTGATGATGACATCATTATCATACAGTAGAAAGTACCAGTACTATCTTTGTGTGACCTTGACAAAGAACTTGGTCATTAATATCTTAAAGTGACAAAGAAAAAGCTTCTTTTCCAAAAGTTCAGAGACAAAAGCATTACATGAAACTGGACACAGGTTTTATGCATTTGATAAGACACAGGTTTTATGCATTTGATAAGACACAGAGTAGAGATAGCAATAAAGGAATTTGTCTAAAAGGTTATTGCTATTATTATTATTATTATGCTACAGTTGTTTTATTAAAGCATTCATTCTTTCATCAGTTAATTGAAAAACATAACTTCTTTTATGATCCACATTAATAATTCATTATTCAAATTTTAATATTTTAAGTATATTTAAGCAACAAATATAATTTGAACTTTTACCTGATATGATTAGTTTATTTAAAAACTCTTTAAAATAGTTTATTGTAGCTTTTTAAATCATTCCGTACATTCTGACAATCATTTCTAAATATTGTTGTAAAAGTAGATAATATTTTTAAAATCTGTGTATACCATAGGATACATGTAAATATATCCAATAAATGTTCCCATTCTGATAGCATTAACAAGATAAGTGCTTCAACTCACTGTTTCTTTAGTAATATCAGAATCAGCAGATTCATCTTCTGTGACCCCTTCAATATTTAGAGTCCTACTAGTAGCAATAGTGGAAGCAGAATCAAGTTGGTTGGAGTCAATTTTCTATAACGATATAAATATTTAAAAGTAGAATTATTATTAATGAAACATTTAACTGCAATATTTAAACCAATTTCTTTCTTCAAATTCAATGGTTGATAAAAGAACAACAAAGACAAATTATAAAAGGATAATGTTCAAAAACTAATAATTTGGGGGAAACTCATAAATTATAGAGCAATAATGATATGTAGAGAAAAATAAAAGTGTACAAATGACAGAAAACCTTTGGTTCAGATTTCTTGGTCACACTATCTCCAAACAAGTCTGTGGCAGCACCAGTTACTTTGGATTTAGTTGGTGCTGGTATAGAAGCCCTTTTCTAGAGAAAAAGAAAAAAAATCATGCTTAAGCCAAGTAAAAGTATAAAGAAAATAAAATTTCATTAGAAACATTTTTATTATATTATGAGCAATGGCATGCTTTTTTAGAATGTCATGTTTACCTTCTTAGGTGCCAATGGTCCTTCTGAACTAAAAAGATCAACAGATGGATTCTCTTCAGGTGTTCCAAACAGGACATCTTCATCCTCAAACAGTGACTTTGTTCTTTGTTTTGTCTGCAACATAATTAAGAATATAAAGATATATGTAGTTATAAAAATGATAAGCAATGACAAATTTCAAACAGTTTAATATGTTAGATTAACTAAAACATTGTTAATAAATGTACAAAAATGCATTGCAAAAAATCATATGACTTAAATAGTTGTATAGGCTATAGCACACAGTAAAAGGAATTGTAGAAACTTTATGCTGTTGGTAGAGAATACTTTAGAAGTGTGTGGAAATATCTAATCCCAGATGTAAGTGCTTCCCAAAAGAATCTAATTTAAGAAATATTACTATATTGAACAACCAAGACAACTATGTTGTTCACTGCAAATACACCAAAAAACAACATTCAGTATAATAAAAGCAGCAGAACACAAAGTTTACTTATATTTTCATTAAACTATTTCTGACATACAAGTGACTACCTCTTGTTTATATTTCATAATGATGACATTCTCAGTTGAGAGAGTTTTAGCATAAAAATCATTCTGTTGATTTCAACATTTTGTAAGATAACTGTTTGTTAAGGAGATATGAATCTTGCTTACTTAGCTTTGGAGATTGAATCAGAATTTTTAGACATTCCATTCTAATATACTAACCATAGTTCTATATCTTGGCACATAAGTAATAAATACAATTTCATATGGGTGATAGAAACACCATTTATGTTAGCAGTTGAAAAAAATATTAAAATTTTTATGAAACCAAAATAATAGTTTAAATATAAGAAATATAATCATGAAAAATTACTTTTGCAAGCAATAAATCATTCCAATTCAAATGATGCAAACCAGTTATATTTGCACATATGGGTGTACTGAATAGTGCTTAATGAAATTAACATAATTTAAAAAAGCAATTACTTTCATTAATAATTGACATATGTAGTGAAGGATTCATCTTAATTTTCTTAGGTGGAGATTATTGCTGCACTGTATTGAAAAATATAATGACAATAATCCCAATCTTTTCATATCAATGACTAACAAAAATTAAGACTTGTGAACAAGTGTTTGGTGTATTATCATGAAAAAAAGTATTATATTTACTCATTTCTATTCTGCTAACCTTAATTACATAGTATATCACATTTTTAGCTGCAGTTAACTTTTCCTAATCTTTAAAAAACTAATGAAGAGATCTGCAGGATATTTCAAAATACATATAAATTGTAATAGAGTAATTGTTACTCTAATGATCTGGCAATAATTTTGTGTATTTTACCAAACTTTCAAAGTTTCACATTATTAGCAAGCTTACTGGAACTACAAGAGATATTGTATTGTAATTAAAAATTATAATCTATCAAAAAGTACAATCTTATAATCTATCAAAAAGTACAATCTTTTAAAAACAAACGACATCAAAGTTATAAAGGCAACATTAATGTGAAAAGTATGCACCATGCTGTGAAATTTGTTTTAGAAATCATTCCTTCATTGATTTTGTGAGCTGTTATATTTCTTCATATGAAACAAACTGAAGCACAGCATCCAGAATAGCATTCCAAAGTTTATCATTACTGGTAAATTACTGTCTGCCAATATAAGCCATCTTGTTCAGAATCTGCCACAATTTTTCAATTGAGTAAAAGTTGGGTGAACAAGTCAGCCACTTCCTCAAATTTAAAAAGAGGGAACAGTAGAGAGGAAAACTGGATCAGGAGGTCACAACTGGAAGAGGGATCATCATTTCAAATTAGAGCTAAAGAGATCAATTAGAAAAGGTCCAACTCAATCCATAAAACGTTTTGGCATGTGAAAGAGGAGTTTCAGCTATGACAGTCCAAAAGAACAGTGAAAAAAGACTTGAAAATGAAATTGTATGTAAAACCTGTGAAGCACCTTATTGCTTTAGGACAGAAAGTTAGCTTAGAGAGGATGAAGATCATCTTGAATAAGTTGGAAAATGATCCTGGAATAATATATATATGTTTGAACTTTATTTCAGTCCATCATGAGCTTCCGATCCTTAACTATGATTAATTAATGATGAACATGTCATTTTTGCTTATGATCAATTTCATCATGATTCTTCTGTTAAGCTTGGAGAATAATTATATATTCTTATTGCTCAAAGTAGAGTCCAATAGTGTTATAAAAACCTCAAAGAATTCTAGTAAGATACCTTTAATCATTTCTAAGATACAATGGATCAAAGCTTAATCTAATGATTGGACAATTTTGCCGTTACACCCAGTATATTACCGATTTCATTTGATTTTCCTTTTGGACTTATTTTAAAGGAGAACTCATCATTAGTTTGTCTTGCCACTTAATTTAAGACCAGAAATCTTGCACTTTTCAACACTTCTTCACTGCCACAATGCTCAATATTTTCTTAACTTGATAAAGATTTTTTTTTTAATAACTTCTCTCTTGATTGGTGATATAAAGTCTTCAACTTGTCCTAATAAGACCTGTATCAGTCATGCAGGATCTTCTCAGGTAGTACCTATCAATCATTTTTACAATTTTCACCATCGTTTTACTTTTTGCAAGCTCTTAAGTCATCAAGCATTTCTCTTTATCCATGAAATTAGACTTGCAATTCATTTTAAATTTTCAAATTTATAATATGGCCATTAATTTGAGATTTAGGAATTTTTTTTTTTACATCTGTGCAGAATTTCACCTTAACTGCAAATCTTTAGATTCCAATAAATATTTATTTTATATATCAATAAAACATGGTTAACTATGAGATGCAGTGCATTTATATAAAAAAATACATTATACATAAGGAAATTTTTGAGCTGCTATTTAATAGCAATGATAGACTCACATTAAAAATGAATATTAGTTTAATTTCCAGTATAAAGATTTACATGAAAATATTTATTATTCAACCTTTTAAACAAAAACATAATTCCAAATTATATCTTTAAACCATGTATCATTATTTTCTAATTGCTAATTTGTTCTTTCATATTTCATATTTTTCATTGTTTTGTTATTCTTTTTTAAATAATAGAAATATTATCTATCAGTATTTCAAAAATTAAATTTTCATTGAGATTTCTGAATTAGTACTGCTAATAAGCACTCACAGTAATTTTATTTCTTTGCTGTTTTAATAGTGAACACAAACAAATGTCAATAACAAAATTGTTACTTGTGGGTTCAACAGCTAAACAATAACTGTCCTGCCTTCTATTGATTCTATGAGAATTCTAAGACTCAATGTTGTTCAAATCTGAGTTAGATATTCTGACTGTGCTATTATGAAATTTAATCACATAAATATGCTTATTAATACAAAAATATATTAATGAAACTAAAAAAATATCAAAATAAATAATTTATTCAATGTGGTTTCCATTATTCTTAATTACAGCCTCTACACAACTTGGAAAAAAATTCTTAACCACAAAGTCAATGGATATCTTGGTCCACTTCTCACATAGAGAATATTTCAACAGTTTTACTCATAATTCTTGAGGTAACTGAGCACTTCATTGTACCTTTCCAGCCTCCAAGTACACCATGAGAAACTGCCTTAGCAATGATGTATGGTATAAAGTTAAGAGTCCCACATTTAGCACAATAAGTGTCTTGTGTGTAAATGTTATTAGATCCTTTACAAGTTTGGCCTTGATAGCATTAAATCTCATTTCCATTTCTTGTTGATTCTGCTGCTTTTTAAATTCCTCTGGATTCTGGTGCTCATGTCTATGGTCTTGTTGATGCTGTAGACAGTGTGTAAAAATACAACTACTATTCTGAGAGATGTTTAAGGCTTGATTTGTGCATGAAGTCTGAAAATTTTTGTTTGTTTGTCTTGTGAAACCATTTTTAGTTATATTTCTGAAAAATAGCTGTGACAGTATATACTCTTTGTTTTTCATTTCATATCATTTGGTGTAATGGCTAGTGGGAAAGTTTAGTTTAAATTTTATTGCACATTTTGCTTCCCCACCCTGTATATAATTTTTCTGTAGATTACAAATCAAATATTATCATTACCTCCAGATTTAATTAGACTAGCATTTTCATTTTTGTTCTTTTCAACATTAAGTTTTCACTTAGTGCAGAACTATTCAGCCACCAGACATATTAAACTTATGAAACAGAATCCCTTACAGACTGAATTTGGAATATTGATGTGTGTAATGATTGGTATCTGAATGAATCATTAAATCATGTAAAATTTTCTCAAGAATTTCTTTTATTTATTGTGTTAAGTAGATATAGAAAAGTTCAGAATATCTAAAGCCTTCACTTTCAGATAATTACTTTTATGTAAATTAAGATTGTTTGTTGAAAATATTCCCAGACCAATACTTACTTCAGGTTTTGGTGCTGTTGGGGTCACACCTGCAGCAGGTTTAGATAATGGATTGAAAAGTGTATCTGTTTCATCCTCATCTTCATCATCATCAAACAATGATAGTGTACTTTGTCTGGGTGGGGATTTTGCTGATTCAACCTTCTTTGCTTCTTCCTATCAAATGAGAAAAAGAATTCATCATAAATCTTGATGTTCCTAGGTTAAATATCTGTTTAATCAATATACAATTCTTCAAATGACCCATATTAGTCTTCTATCTCACTTTGGTAAAGTATAGAGGCTCTAAACTATGAATTGGTTAAGAATCTCAGCTCAGTGGGTCTTCTTTCAGATAAATAATATGGTTTTTGCTTCTCTAGGTCAACAGCTGATGAATTTGCCAAGATAATAATGGCAAGTTCGTGGTTGTTGCTTTAGATATTCTGAAGGGTTTGGCATGCTAGTCTTCTTCACAAGTTGAAAGGTTATGGTATTTCTGGACAAATTTTTGAACTGATTTAACCTTTCTTATCAATCATGAAATGAAAGTTATCTTGAATGGCCACTCTTCTAGATCCCTCAACTCCACAAATTTAAGCGCAGTACTAGATCTCATAATTTCACTGTTGAAAACGCCAGCTATAACCACAAGTTCTATGCTAACAGTTTTCCTTTCTTGCACTTCTCACTTGTGAAACTCTGTTTTCCTATCAACTACAATCTTCAAAAATTTAAATGTAATGTCAATCATCATCTTCTGTCTCCTTGAATTCTGTTCTTTCATTGTTCTCTCTGTTTCTGTCACACTTGCATACTAGTGGATTTTATTGCCTTACTTGGGGAGAAATGATTAAAAAAACATTTTATTAATATTCACTACTGAATGGCAAAGAAGGAGATTATCTTGAAAAATATTTGTTTCATAAAATTCTTTTTATCATTAAACTGCAATCTTATTGTGTTTATGTATGGGGACATCAGCAAATGATATCATCCCAAAGGAGACAAGACAAAGAATAAAAAATGAATGGATGACTGATGAGATTCTTGGCATGATGGAAAGAAGACAGAAAACTCTGCCAACATTCAGAATGGAGTATAGAAAATTACACAATGAAATAAGGACCAAATGCAGGCAAGCTAAAGAAGAGTGGCTAAATGAAAAACCTGCAGAAATAGAAAGATTGAGTACTACCAACAAGAGATATGCACAAACAAATAAGCAACTAACAGGATAGAAGACATGCTTGTCAACAGGCTGCTTAAAATCAAAGGATGGAATGCTCATATTAGAGAAGGAAAAATTTTTCAATGCTGGTGCAAGTATATTGGAGAACTCTTCTATGATGAAAGAAAACAACCAGTAATGCACAGAACTATTGATGGACCTGGAATTCTGAAAACTGAAGTAAAAGCAGCACTGGCCAAATTGTATAGAAACAAGGCAGCTGGGCTAGATGGAATTGTAATGGAAATGCTGACAGCCTTAGATGACAAGACAAGATCACTGAAATAACAAATGAAATCTATAACAGCGACGATATACCAGAAGATCTCAGCAGATCTATCTTCATAGCAATGCCTAAGAAACCAGGTGCAAATGAATGTAAACTCTGCCAAACAATAAGCCTAATGAGCCACATGATGAAACTCATCATCTGTGTTCTGATGAATAGAGCGCACAGCAGAATCAGGCCAGAGATAGGAGGAGAACAGTGCAGGTTCATTAAGATACCGGAACAAGGAACACGATATTCATGCTGAGAATGTTATCAGAAAGAGTGATACAAATGCAGAAGGATGTGTATTTATGTTTCATAGACCTTCGACAAAGTAAGCCACAAGGATCTGCTCAGCAACCTTGAAATATTCAGGAAAGATATCAGAATAACCAAGAACCTATACTGGCAGCAAACAGCATGCACGCACATAGAGAATGAGTTCAGCGAAATAGAATGGGGCATAAGGCAAGGATGCATCTTCTCACCTGACCTGTTCAACCTATACAGCAAGGTAATTCTGAGAGAATTGGAAACCCTACCAGGATTTAGCATTGGCAGTCACAATCTTAACAACATAAGATATGCAGATGACACAGTACTGATAGCAGACATGGAAAATAAATTACAAAATATCCTACAGAAGGTAGTGATGGAGAGTGTGAAGAAGGGACTAAGCATAAACTACAAGAAAACAGAATACATGGTCATCAGTAAAAGGATGAGCCTAAAATGCGATTTGCAGGTTGGGAACACTAGAATCAAGCAGACACAGAAGTTTGAATATCTGGGAAGTGTTCTGATGGAGGATGGTAAATGCGACACTGAAATCCATAGACATATTGGTATGGCCAAGAATGCATTCCAAAAGCTGGGCAAAGTATTGTGATACAGGAGGATTTATTTGGTAACAAAGAAAAGAATACCGATGGCAGCAAATGTTGGACGATTTCCTCAAAGATGAAGAAGATACTCGAGGCGATGGAGATGTGGTTCTACAGAAGGATGCTAAGGATATCATGGACCAAATGTGTGAGCAACAATGAGGTCTTAGAGAGGATGCAAACAAAGAGGAGGCTTATACTTGACATCAGGAAGAGGCAGCTGAAGTTCCTGGGACACATAATGAGGAAGGAGGGACTGAAGAATCCGATACTCAGGGGTCGAATAGACAGAAAGAGAGAAAAGGGAAAACAACACATGACATACCTAGTGGCCTTAAGCAAGTGGATGACAGAATGTAGTCTGGGGGAGGAAGCAGAGGGAAGGAACTTGTTGAGAGCTGCAAGGGATAGAGAGAGGTGGATAGCCATGATCGCCTACATCCTGAAAGGTTACAGCACATAGAAAGAAAAACAATGTACACACATGCAAATATTCACTTCAAATATTCATGTGGGAAAGACTAAAATATGTTACTTGCATAAATGTGCCCTTTTCTAACACATTCACACACATTATAGGCACAAAACTGAACATATATTCTTGTCTACATACAAAATTCCTGTACAGTATTTACATTAGTCGGACTATTGTCCTCATCTTTGAACCATATTTGTCTCTGTTTAACCGTTTTGCATCCGGCCTTCTTCATGGTGGTTGGAACTTGAACTGAACCCTTTAAATTACTGGGGTGACTGTTCTAGTTCCCGTGCCATATTTGATGGATGTCAGTTATCAGTTATCTCAGAGCTAATTTTCCCTCAAAAGTTCTCCACTGCCATAACCAGAATTGAACTCACCTTCTTTGGGTCTGTCACTGGATCTACCCCAACGCCTTTATCCACTGTGCCATGTGTCAGTTGAGGTTCCATCCAGTGACAAAAAGAAGGCCGGAGTTCACTTTTCAATGTTTTTTCAGGAAATATAAGGACAAATTTCCACTGACATGGCGACAAAGATGAGGAAGACTAATGTAAAATAATGTATATAATACTCATCTCAGAAATATAGACAGACTACAAAATTCCTATATAGTAAATTTTATACTAGTAGCTACATTAATAATTAAAGTAATTTATTATTAAATACCTTATTATTTAGACCAGCATGCTTACCTTGGTTGTTATAGAAAATTAAAAAAAAAAAAAATCAAAAGATAAATAATTTTTACAAACCTTCCTTTCTGGAGCTTTTTTTAACTTTGAAAATATGTCTACCTCTCCAAGTAAGGAAACTCCACCAGCTGGTTTCTTTTTCACACTAAAAAGACAAATTGAAAGAGAAAAATTAATCATATATATTTTGTGGAACTAAAATTATTACACTCTAATCTTTGGTAAATGTCTTGAATACAAAATAAGATTTACAATATGCAAACTGTTTCATGTGTGATTAAGGACGTAATTGTTGTTGTAGAGAAAAAAAACCTGTAAACTTATAGTAGCAATAAACACCTGCAATAGGTTTCTTTTGTCTCATCTGCAACACTTGTAGCTAAATCACAGTTCAAACGATAGTCTGTCATAACAGTCCAACAGGCAACATAGAAACAACAAAATGGGGTCACAAATTCAACCTTCACTTCTCACCAGCAGAAACGCATATTTGTCCACCAAGCTCAGAAAAAATTGAACTGACAGTAAGCAAAAGAGTGATTTTTCTGATTGGCCATGCCATTCAGGGGAGGAAAGAACATTAACAGATTCTGATACTTAAAGTAGCAGATTTTTGCTAACTACTTTCAGTAATTTATCTTCAGCAGATTGCACACAAAACACAAACTCTTTTTCGAGGTAAGTTATTCTCTATTTCACTACAGCAATAGAGACTTACTTTAATTTTTGTCACAATTTCTGGGATGGGGAATTTTTATTATTTAGATTTTGGACTAATGTTCACATCTTTGTTGTTATTATCACAACATTTGGCTGCTTTCTTCAGGTGTTTCTTGATCTGGGTAATCTACAGGGAATTTTGAACTGAACCCTTTATTTAATCTATGGGGGTTGATTTTTCTAGTTCTGCTGTCCATGTCTAGGGACATCTGTCTAGTTCTTAATTTTAGTATTGCTCATTGCTTGCCCTGTTTCCATTGTCTAAGTGTGTACTACCCAGCCCAGAGATCACAATATAACATGCCATCTAATTCACAAACCAACATTTTATTTCACTAGGCTATTGTCCCGTAGGAAAATACTTTAATAGCAATATTTTTTTAAATAATTGTATTTAATATTCCTCTAGAGATCTGTTTATAGGATTGGTAATGTATGGACATGAAACTTCTTTATGCAATGGCAGCTGATCCGAAAAGTTTCATAATATAAATGCAAATAGAATGTGTGCATGTCTCATAGAGAATCAACTGCTTAAAGTAACTTTGTGGATCTACATAATTTATGTGTGGTATATAGTTTGCGACCTTCTTTTACATATAAATATTTATGTTGTGTAAGTAATTTCTGAAGTTAAAATTTGTGAATTCAATAAATGTGTCTTAGATTCCATTTAAACCCCACCTCCTTTATGTCCACATAACTGTAGTTATTCATCTTCGCAGCAGGACAGATATCAAAATATTAAATTTATTGTAAAAAGAAAAAAAAGCAATTTTAATTTAGTCCATATCTAAAAAAAAAAAGGCAATGATCTCAAAAACCAGTCCTTTTCATGCCTTACCACACACAATATGAAAGAAATGATATTGGATTTGTTCTATACTTGGATCGATTATTTCCTTTTGCATAGACTAACTCAGTATGTTACTCCACAAAAATAAAAGAAACATTAAAAATTGAAGATGTGGATCATAGTTTGTATTAAATATGTCAGAAAATTTAATTTTCCAAGCATAATCCTTTAAATATAAGAGGGAATATCAAAGTTCAGCTGTTAGTAGATTGCTATTAGGAAATCATGCCGGTGCTTATTCAGTGGCATTGACAATTCAAGTTTAGCCTTTGTGATTTGAAACTATGCTCTTGATAATCTTTACCATTTTAAGCTTAGCATCAGCAAACAGATATTAGAAAATATGAAAGATTTGTAATGCATATTTAACTATAGTTGAATAATACTATCTTTTAAGAATATTTGGTACAGCTGCAAAATATTTAAAACATTTACATATTCAGAATTCATTTTTTGAAATCAATAATGTTAAGAAAGAACAAAATGCATTGTTACCATGTGTATAGAAAAGATACATTTTTTAGAAATCCTGGAAATGTAAGAAAAAATAGCAGGTTTAAAAACAGAAACTGTTTACCATACATCACAAACAACTTAGAGATAAACTTATCTGAAACGTGATCCTCTTTCTTTCTTTTTTCTCTCAATGCAAGCATCCTAGGCATCCTGTGTACTTTGAATTAAGTGAGAAAGCTATTGGTAATTAATCATACAGGCTACAACAACATTTTAGAGAAAAGTCATACTTTTGTGCTTAACATTTGCAACTAGGACAAATAGGAAACCATTCTATCAGCTGAAAAAGTGGTCAAAAATCAAATTATGGTCTGTAAAACTATTACAAATTGTTTACAGGATTTGTTTTAAAATAATTTATCTAATAATAATTAATAAAATCATTTTAAAATTAACTTTTTCTAACCAAAATTTTGTAATTCAATCCAATAATTTATCAGCAATATCAGCTTTTTATCTGGCCAAACCTCCAAGCAGAGACAGTATTAGACAACTCTTAGATATTTACTAACAATATTAACATTATGTTAAGATGAGATCATGTTTTAACTCAGCTGGTCATTAGCATATTTCATTATGGTATGCAACGGAAGAAAGTTCAACTCAGATATTAAAAAAAAGGAAGCTAATATTTGCCATAATCAAACAGATCCATTAAGTTATTTTAAAAAAAATTTATTATTATGAATGTGTTAAATAAATAATAAGCCTTACTATTCAGAATTTAATTATAGATACAAAAAGATTTAGTTATAGACTGAAAATAAATGAACAGGATTTACTGGAAATGAAAAGTAAATGGCATTACAGGATAGTAAAAACAAGATTCTAGCTTTCAGCATTTTGCTTAGATGTTTTTGCTGTTCACATGTTTCTAATTAGAAAGAATTAAACATTTGTAATATTTATAAATATAAAATCTAATATTTTCTTACTAATGTGAAAATTCAAAGTGAAGAAAGGAGATTATAGAATGCTTCAAGCATTACTGAAATAGATCTTATATATGAAGCAAGAGACAAAGTTAAAAAAAATGTAACTAATGAATCTATTTTTAACATTATTATTATTTTTAATTGATTTGCCCTAAGCAATGCAGGTATGCAGGTTGTTAGAGAGTGATGGTGAGAGATGAGACTGGGTATAGGGGAGACTGAGGAAAGGATAAAAGCTGAATGGGTTCAAGAAGATAGATGGTGATTGACATTACATTTAAATTTTTGAAGGTTGTAGCTATCAGAGAAGGAAGGGAATGGAAGGGTGTTCCATGGGTGGAAAGTGTGAGAAAAGAAACTATTGGAGTAGAAGTGGTGGTTACATTTCCCTAATTCAATAGTAAAAGGGTGGGACTTAGAAGTCAATCTAGTTGCATGCTTAAACTCATGTAGTCTGGGCACCAGAGAAAAAAAGCTTATCAAAAAAGGTTGCCATGAAAAAAAGACAGAGGGAAGCCATGTCACGTCAGAGAGAAAGAGAGTGATGTTGAGATGCCAAGTCAGGATCAATTACATTGCAGATCCTTCTTTGGATTTTGTCAAGAACCTCAAGATGAGTAGCAGGAACACCAGACCAGATATGGCAACAGTATTCAATGCACAGATGAATGTTAGATTTGTCAATGTGCAAGATGAACTCTGATGAGAAAAACCTTCTGGCATAAGGCAATGACTCAACTTTCCTTGCAGTAGATGCAGCTATTGATTCAATGTACTCATTCCACTTCAAGTCAGTTGAAAACGTGAGGTCAAGAAGGCGCAGTGTGTTGCTCCCTATGAGTCTACCATCAGCCATGCCGATGACGGGCAGGAAAGTTTCTCTATGGTCATTAAATGAGAGTAGTTTCATTTTAGAGGCATTAAAATTTATGTACCATTTCTTTCCCCAGTTAATCACAGATTGGAAGTCCTTTTCAAGAGCAGTGGACAGGTTAACTTTGTTTGCTCTGATGGATTTACTATTGAGACAGGAGTAAATAGTAGTGTCATCAGCATAAATGCCTACCTGGGAACTGATGACATCAGGAAGATCATTGGTGAAGATCAGAAACAACGTAGGACCCAGGATAGAACCTTAGGGGACATCCACATTTGTGTGAAAGTATCTGGAAGTGAGCCCATTCAGAATGACCTTCATTTCATGATTTGATAGGAATGATTGGATTAAATCAAACAATCGTCCAGTAATACTGTAGCCCATAGAAGACCAGCTTGCTAAACCCTGTCAAATGCCTTTGAGATACCTAAAGCCACAACTCAAGCTTTGCTGTTATCAAGAGCTTGATATGCATATACAGTGATGGCCGTTGGCACATCAGCAGTAGACCTGGCAAAATGGAAGCCATATTGTTTGTCAGAGAGTAGGCTGTGGGAGGTAAGATGCTTTTTCACTTCAGCATTGATTAAAGCCTCGAATACTTTGCCAAAAAGTGGTAGGAGACTAATAGGGCAATCGTTAGAGTGGTCAGAAGGTTCTCCAGAGTTCTTAAAAACAGGAACTACAGAGGAGGACTTCCAACAAGCCAGAAAGCAGGAAGCAGTGAGGTGCAATATCTAATTTATACTGTATTATCCATAATAAAAATAAACTTAGGTGCCTAATACAAAGGTAATGGTTGATATGCTGCTAAACAAAAAACAACCAACCAACCAACCAATACAAGAGTGGGAGCTTAATAATTTGGGGTATCAGAATTTTTCTCAATATGGGGTAGGCTGTAAAAGTAGGATGAGAAAATCAATGAAAGTGTCAAAATGAAACTGACAGGAAAGTGGATGTAAATAAATATTTTTAATTACTACCAATCATTGAATTGAACCATTTATCTGATTAATGTGTGGGTTTCTTTAGCACTTCTGCATACAAGAACATTCATAGTATTCAATTAGACTCTGCTTTTCAACATGGGAATTGGTAGCAAACCAGTAAAATCAATAAGAATCTATTCATCTTATTTTTATCTGACATTTTTTTTGTCAAAATAGACATGTATCACTGTCACTTATAGAAGACAGGAAATTACAAATTAAGATCTTGTGAGTTTTTACCTCAATTTAGGATGAGTGTACAATTCAAACCTTTTTCATTCTATAACTGAAGAGAATTTATCATAGTTATAATTATTATTAAAATACATCTATACGAAAAATAATTTTACAATTATTACTTATAATATTGATAAGATGGAGTACAGTAATTTTTTGTGATAATTATTACTGTCATTAGTAATATTGTCATTAAAGTGTAAAAAAATGGGGTATGAAAGGAAACTTAGTTACCAGAAAAAACAGCCTATTATCAAGATAGATTCAATATCATAAAAAAAAAAAAAAATTGTAATTTAAAAATTCTGAAATAATTTTGTATCATTAAAATTAACAATGACTCAATCAATTTGTGATACAAAAATTTGGGCTGTTAGATTCTTGTTAGGATTGCTGATAGCTAAGAATAAATGATTAATGATCCTATCTAAATCTCAGTAAGTAGAATATATATATATATATATATATATATATATATATATATATATATATATACACGCACATGTTAATGACTATGCTTTCTTGCTTAGTAAATATACTGAAAATCTGAACAATGGAGAAGGTAAAGATTGAAATTAAATTATTTATTTTAAACATTATGACTTGTGGCAATATTGGTAATATAGGGTAGAATTATAAACTTGATAAAAAACAACAAACAATAAACAAACCTTTCTTTAGGTTTCGCTGAAGAAAATAAGTCATCCTCCCCTTCAGAAAATAGGCCTGTTGCTGGAGACTTCTTCTCTTGGTTAACTTTCTGTTAAAAATAACAATTTTTATGGATGTTTCAATGTGAAATAAGAATAATTCTCAAACTTTAACTGGCATAGTATGGTTTTTTTTTTATTCAGCCATATTAGCATATGATAAGTTTCACATCAAAATAGATTTTCTGAAAAAATGTCTATGTGTTCAATTTACATCTCTGTTCTGTAATACTGCTCTAAAATCAATGGATTGATAGACTAAGAAACTTATGACAATGCACAAACCTCTACACCCCAATGGTGATACATATGGATATATAAACAGAAAAGAAGATGGCAGGAGTATCATCAGCATTAAATGGTTAAAATGGGACTGAATTACAACAATGTAATGAAAATATGAAAGCTAAAAACATTGGGAAAAAAAAAAAGAAAATAAAAAACAAATGAGGGAGGGGTGAAGAATAAATAGGAAAAGGAAACACTACACAGAGAATTTAAGAGGCAAATAGAAAATATCATAAATGATAAATAATAGACATGGCAATACAAGGGATACGTGAAGAGAGAAATAAAATCCTACATCCCAGCCCAGAACAAGTGCACCAGGACAAAATACATCAAAGCAACGATTGATAAAATCCAGAAAAAACAGTAGATGTCACCTTGTATACTATACTGGGGGATGAACTTGTTCTGATCACTAAATGTAACATTTAAGTGTAGCATAAAGAATTGGAGGCATGTTGAAAAAAAAAAAAAAAAAAAAAAAGAGCTTTTTGATCAATCTTTTCAAAATGGATTACTGATAAATTTAAAAAAGGAAAGCTAATTAAACTCAAGTCTCCTTTTCAGGCCATTTTTAGTATTGATTAGTATTAGTATTTTTAGTAATTTAACAGACCTATATTCACCTGAGCCAAATAGTATAAGAAACCTAAGCTGCTTGATTGTGTATCATCTGCTTTTCAGAAAGAAAGCAGACTTTGTGCTCTTGTTTAATGTTTGAATTTTGAAAATATTTTTGGTAATTTTGATTTGAAATGAAAAGTAAATGGTATTACCGAATAATAAAAACAAGATTCCAGATTTTAGCATTTTGGAGTGTAGCATGTTCCATTTTAGATTAGGAATGGCCAATTTTGTCATACTACAACAATGATACATCATATTTTAGATTCAGTGATTGGCCAATATCACATTGATAAGACAGTCTGTGCCAATACTTTTTCAAATGAATATTTCAAAATTCTAAGTGCTGTATGGTCATCATTTCATTTGAGGATTCTTGATTCTCTTTATTATGCAAAATCTTTTTTTTTTCTATTTACTAAAATGACCTACTATTAAATCAGTTCTGTCCCTCTGGTATTTTCTTTTAATGAGAAGGCAGTTTAGAATGTTTTGCCTTGGTAATTTCATTTTATTGTTTAAGCTTTTATCAACAATCCTCTTTGAAAAAGTTGATAAAAAAAACTATTTCTGGTTTTTCATTTCTGACATAAATGTAACTCTACAGCTGGAAGTATCAGCCATTTATCAAAGTCATTGGTTTGGTGACATTCTGGACAGGAGACTCCTCCAGCCACATTGTATTTGAATAAGATCTGAAGATGTCCCAAGCTCAGAGTTGAAACCCCTGAGCCAGTCACATGTTACAAAACTAAAAGTGACAGATTTATAGATATCTTGAAATAATTATGAGGAAAACTAAAATAACTAATTAAGATTTTAACAAAACAGTTTATTTTAGTTGGTGGTTACATAAGTGTTTCAAGCTAGTATCTTCCCTTTCTCAGTTCTAATGCTTGATAGCAATACACAGTAGGCTGAACTTTGAATCACTTATTTACAACTGTAATGTTAATGATAAAACAACAATAGCATGTTTCAGTGTTTTTCCACTTTTCAAATGTTAGAGTGATAATCTGCTACTATGATTAGCTTTTTGTTTGTCTCTCTTGCATCTCACATATGTCTTAACAGAACTCCCTAAGGACACCTTGCAGTTGTATGTGTGTGTATATATACAGTGCCATGCAAAAGTTTACAACATATTACAAAAAATGTTGTTTTTTTTTTCTAATACAATTACATTAATTAAATGTTTACTCCTCATGGAACATATTTAAGTATTGAGTCAAACAAACAGATTTTTTTAAAAACTTCAAAAAAGTATCCCACAAAGAAAAACCAATATTTAGTAACTCAAAAGTTTACAACACATTTTTTTATTTATTTACAACAGCTTTCTTTATAAAAGTGTTCAAACTTTACTAGAATGTTCCAAATTAGGATGGGGTTGTTTTTTTTAGAACTGCTCAGACAGTTTCTTTTCTAGATTTCCACTCAATATTTTCATCCTAAAATATCACTGACACAATAGACTTTTCAAAATAAAGCTTCTAATTTTAAACTGTTAATTGCTTTTTAATAAACATGCATCACATATATCATTAGTTGTCTTTTAAAAATTGTGAATATATTTTACTTGTGTACTAAATAAAAACTGATCAATTATGAACAAGGAGAAGGATAAATATGACCAAAACTTGGTATGTAATTTTGTAAACAGTGACCAAAAAAGAATGGAAGAGAGCGAGTAGGTATCAACATGTTGTTGACTAATAAACTTTGTACAAACCAAATGGTTCAGTATTCACAATAACAAAATAAAAAGTTATTAAGAGAAATGGCACTGATCAATTTCATTGTAATGACATCTAGTTAGGCAGCAAAATATTTCTGCTATAGACATTTGGCAGTGCTACATCAACCTATATGGGTAGATATAAGCATCATCTGTTTTGATGTATATACATTTCCTGTTATTAAGTAGACCACAGATAACGAACATTTTTTTAATACAGGATGTAGAAGGTTTTGTATGTAACAAAAAATAATACTGATGTAATGTAATAAAAAGTATGTTTATAAAATACAAATTCCATTTGTTGATACTGCAAATCAAAAATGGTGGAAATTTGTAAATGATGATTTTTAAATTGTTTTCAAAAATTGCTATAAACATTCTTTACTGAACTGAAAGAAACTATTTTGAGCTGAAGCAAATTGCTCAAAGAAAACTGCATAGCAAGATAGCTGTTAACTCATACTTTCCTATTCCCTATTGTTCAGTTTAGTCCAGTGGTTCCCAAACTTTTTCTAACTACTGACCAGGACACATCCATAGCCCACCACGATATGAAGACACTTCTTTCTTAGTATTATGTATAATGCAAATTCAAAATAACTAATCTAACACTAAAAACATGCTTTTTGCAAAAAATAACCAGGCAAACCAATTAATTTGCCTGGTTTATCAGCATGAAAGGGTGAATTTACAGTTTTAATAGGAAGGGTGTTACTAACATGTATTCTTTAAATAAAAAACTGCTATAATGAAGCCAGATAGTAAAAAAATGGTTTGGCTTGAATAAAAATTGATTTGTAAAAACTTTGCATATGTGAGGATCAAACTGATGTTAGAGAACCACCAAATGAAGCCTTGTGGTTTATAAAAAAGATACATACATAAAATTTGGTTTTCAAAATTTAAAAAAAAAATCTGATGGTTTGAAAAACTAGTCATAATAAAGTTTGCCAACAGGTGTAGTTTAAAGAGATACATTTCATGATTTTTTAATCAATGGGGAAAGTAAGCTATGAACCCATTGGTATTAAATTTTTGATTCAATTTGGAGCTGATTTGTGGTTATTTAAGAAGTAGGGCTTGTCAGACAGCCAATAGGGATTTGGCTTTCACAGGTGAAAGTTGTTGGCAGCTGAAGAAGAAAAAACAGAAAGAAGAAGGAAGATGTCAGCTGGTTCTGGGGCCTGAACAAAAGAAAACTAAAAGCTGCTGCTGGCAACTACTATGAAAAAAAAACTGAAAGAAAAAGAAAAGGAAGCAACAGAAGAAAAAGTAAAGCAGAAGAAAAAGAAATAAAAGCAGAAAGGAGAAAATTCTATAATTTTAGAAAGATTTATGATTATCTTTCTTTAGTTGTTTGTGAAAATTTGTAACAAGATTAGAGGTATTAACCATGATTTTGAACTTTTTATGAAAAGACAAGATTTATGACATCTTAGTTTGTAAAAATTAACTATTATCTAAACCAGGGGTTTCCAGCTTTTTTTTTTATGTCATCACTCTTTTTTACATAGAAAAATTTTCCACCACCTAACTGTAAATATTCAAAAGCATACCAAAATTGTTTGGTAAAAGTTTGTTGCTGGTTCATAAACTGACTTTATAATGTAGCAAAAAAAAAAAAAAAAAAAAAAATCAAAAGGGAGGTAACAAATAATGCTGATTTATGACTAGTACCATATTAAAGAATGAACAAAAAAACTTGACCATTGAAAACTATATATACAATTTAGTTTTATGGTTAGGGTTAGCATTGCAAGTGTTGACAAAAAAATTAAACAATTTTTGTTCATAATTATGATATTAAAAAGAATATACACAACCAGCAATTAATAAAAATTCAGTGAATATTTTTGTTATGTTTGATACCTTTTCAGCACTAATTTTACTTTTGCACATGCAAAAAATATAACCATTGTTGAAATCACTCACTTGATGTTAAAAATAATACATAACTTTTGTTCACCATTTTAACATTGAGAGAGCGAGTGTGTGAGAAAACAGGAGTTAATATGAGAGGCAATCCTGTTTTCAAGGCATAGGTACAGAAGGGAAATACTGTTTCTTAAATAAATAAATTCATGTAAATAACTTCCCTAAAACTAAACTATATCATTTACAATTTATTAAATACAGTTTTAAATTGTAATGGCTTTTAAAGCATTCAAAATCTACCCAAGGAAATGTTTTTATGCACAAAACACATAAATAGAAAAAATAAAAATACCTTCTGTGTATAAAAACATTACACAAGTAAGTGTGAGTAGATTTTGAATGATTTAATTGGGTGCGGAAAATGAAAATACAGCTATGGAAGAAGTTTTATCATTTATTCAGGCCAATAAAAGAAAAAAAAAAGAAAGCTACTAAAAAATTAAAAAAAAAATGTAATCATAAAATTTCACTTCATTGAAAATTTTAAATAGGCATGGAAAAAGTAAATCATTCTAACTGTAACTTGAGTTCAACAGCATTTTGCTCAGAATAAGAAAATTCATGAAAGAAAATAAAAGAGAATATGTACATTATAAAGTCATTGCTTTGAATAAATTGTTTGTTAAATTATTTTTTTTCTTGCTTACTTCTTGTTATTTCACCCTCACTCAGAATTCCAATGAGTACTACCTTGGCTAAGTTGTGGCAAATGTTTTAACAAAACCTTATGACATTTTCATGATGGGTAAATTATGTTTTGACAAAAACTTTTCCTGCCTTGATAAATTTGAGATGGCTAATATAATAAAAAAAGTAAAAACAATTTCATATTAAATAAAAATGAAAAGAAATAAAAAAAATAATGAAAGAAAAACAGAAGAAATGTTTTTAATAATGATGGGAAACATGGAAAAAAGGAAACCATTTTTTTAGTAATTGAAAATGAAAAAAAAATGAGAATTCATGAAAGAAAAACAAAAGTTGTGTCAAGTGGGTTTAATAAAATCTTATATCATTTTCCTGAAAACTATATGCTGGGCAAGTTCTCTTTTAATGGGCACTTTTCCTACCTCAATAAATTCAAGATGGAATGATTTCCTGACAGGCACTTTTCTGGACAATAAAAAGTATAGCCATCATAAAAAGTCATTTATCAAGTAGTAACAAATCATTAACAATTTTTTTTAAGTCACAAACAAAAAAAGAAAACATTAACAATTTTTGCATTACAAGATTCTGTTGAAAGTAATGTCCAAAGTAGTAATATCAAATATTTTGGCATACACATACCATTTTTATATATCATCAATGTGCTTTCTGTGCCAGCTATACAGAAACATCAGGTTTCAAATTAGCCATCTTTAACCATAAGTTACTTTGCTTGATTATATCCAGCCTACTTCTACTTTTAGATAACAAGGTATTAACATGGTTGAAGCCGGCTTCTGCCAAGTAGAATGTTAGGAAGGCAAGCAAAATCAACTTTCATAGATTAGAATAAGATCTCACTATACTTTGATGACACACAAGCCATATTTACCATGAAGCCGATACTGAATTGTAGCATCATTGTCATTTTATCAATCTATCAGTTCTTTCTGTACATTGTCTTTGCATTCGATTACTTAAACTTCAAATACGTAAGTTATACAAAACTGGAACAGGCAATGCAATAATATTCTGAAATTACTGTACCATGTCATGCAATGATTGTAAATAATTGCAATATGTAATGACATCCTCATTAACTAAATTGGTAGAGTTAGCATCTTTAAATGTTCATCTTATAGTGTTAATTTTGAAATGAAAGCAGTAATGGACGATTTACAGTAGACAAGTGTTTTTTTTTTGCTTTCCTTGCAATAATGTGTTGAGATCATTTAGTTTGGCAAATATGTGACTAAGGAAAAATATATCACATTTTGAAGCAATCGGAGAAGTGGATAATGGAGTGCCTTGAAAGAAATTTATTATTGTGTCAAACAGTTTGACAAAACAGACAACACATTTGCCTTTTGACATCCATCGTACTTCAGTATGGTACAAAAGCCTCATTTAGTCATCATCGTTATCAAGGCACAGTTGATAGAAAGTTTTTTTTCAGGCAAAGAATTAGATCTTAGAGTGTTTACAGTTTTAATAACTACAGTACATTATTAAGCCTGCCATCAATATTTTTAGCCACTAAATGCTGCCAGTGAACCCAACCATAAACTGTTAAAACAGGATACGAAAGTTCATGATTTAAGAAAGAAGAGAAACTTCTGTATCTACCTATCATAGCAGGCACTCCATCAGATGCACAGGCAACAATATTATTCAATAGGATATTACACTCATTAAAAAACACCTTAAATAAATCTAAAATAGATATATTTTTTGAGTCAAGCAACAATTGATTAGTGAACAGCATCTCCTCAAAAAGGTTGAATATTTTTTATTAATCTTTAGCGCTATTATTATTACTTCCTACTGCATTCTTTTTCAAGGGTTCACAATTGCAGTAACCTTATTGTTAATTTCACTGTTGTTTTCTGTTGCCATAGCAGAATATGACAATAAAACTATGAAATTCAAACACACTATTCTTCAGGGATCAGAGTCACATTCAGTGGCAGAGTAAACTTTTTGTACAGAATATGAAGTCACAGTGTAATAAAGATTAAAAAATAAATATATACCATTATCAAAAACCGACATCCCACAACTGTCAGTTCATCAACTTGCATGGAAAATTCAGAACTCCAGAGAATAAAGACAAGTTGCTGTTTGACATCGGTGGCCATTTCATCTATACATTGAGAAATTGAGTTATTACTGAGTGGAGTTGTTTTGATAATTGTGTCAGGATCTTTATGCATTACAGTTGAGAGAACTTTTTAACGTGTCTCCTATAGTGTGGGACTTACTGGCCTTTGTAATCAGTAATGCAATGTTGTACAATGTTGTAATGGGCATCATCTTATTATATTGTTGTGTAGTTGCTTTCTGAATTTCTGAGATCAATGTTTTTCAATTTTCAAATGGGGTCTTAAGCTGTAAGAGATATGACAATGGTTTTTCCTTCTGGCCAGCATGATCAGAATATAAATGATACTGTAAGTATGAAGGCTTCATGGCTTTGTTACTTAAAGTTTGGTTGCACATAAGACATGTAGGTAATTGTTGATTACCCTGAGGAAAAGCTATAAAACTATAAGATAAATAGTCAATGCTGTATTTATGACAAACTAGAGGCATTGGGGCATTTAAAAATTGTACAACACACAGAGAAAATAATAGAAACAATAGATAACTAAATTTTTGTTTACAATGTTATTTGAAGTCTGTTTACAATAATCTTCAAATACAAGAACAAAGAGAGTTGCAATCACTTGGCAATCAATGCAGCCATCCGTTTATATGAGCATATGCATTGAGCTGTGAACAGTTCCCATTTTTGATTCTCATATTTTGTCTGGCATTGAAGTTGATGCCTCATTATCTATGGTTAATTGTTAGAATGTTTATGACCCTTCTCAAAACTATAGAAAATACTAATTTCTTGTTTGCAAGGATATTTATATCTTATCTAGGAATGTGACCCAGTTATTCTCATTTAGCCTCCTGTTTTTTTTTATTTGCATATCTCCTTTGAATATTTTTTTTTTTGGGTAGTGTATGTTGAAATACTTTTCTACTACTCAAAATCCTATATTGCCAACTAAAATTTCCAATCACCTATTTTCTGTTCAGTTGCTCAGTGCCCACCCAACAGTTGAAATCGCCCACCATTGAGTGATACCATCCAGGTTGGGAAACCCTTGTTTAAATAAACCTGAAATCTAGCAATGTCCAATTTTTCAAATCCTTTCAACAGTTGAATGGATCAAAGTAAGTGGACATTTTTGTTGATAATAATTATAATTGTTTTTATGAGCCCAACAAAATTGTAATTGAAACACAAAGGAATATTTTGTGTTATTTTGCATTATAAATTTTGTATTCTGTATCATTATTTTTCATGTCATTTAATAAATATAAATTTCTTTCAAATTTCACACCAGAGTAAGAGTCATGTATTTCTTCATTTGTGCTATTTATAATACTTAGGATAAAAGATTTGATGTTCTCTCTTCTCCCCACAAATCCTTTTATATGCTCAGTAATTTTCAATCTCTTTTTTTGCTTGAAAAAAAAAACCCAAAAAAAACCCCAAAAAACAAAAAAAACTGTAGTTAGAAGCCTGCTCTACTAAATATGAGGTTGGGAATGCAATAAAGTATATATTGACTTTATTTGACAGTGCAGAGTAACAGTCAGAAATGTTTTTTGCAATCAAAAACTCTTGATATGATTTTATGAACTTCAACCTCAACTCAATATCATTTTTCAGTGAAACCAGATCTTTCTCAAATATTCCTGTTTCCTCATATCTAGGAATGGATTAATCATCCAGTCTCGTATTTTAATGAGAAAAAAAAGATCATGAAATCTGTCAGATATTTATCTATGCAGTTCCTCCAGGTGTGCACAATATAGTTGAAAGTTTATCAGGTATGCTAGTCTCCAATTCACATTATATTTGACCAAGAGCTATTTGTATCAGTTTTAAGTGTGAAAAAAAGTACATTTAACTTGATTACAGCATAAATTTTCAGGAGATTAGACTATAAAATGTGCTATTTTTAGATTAGCCAGAATATAAAAATTTATATTATGCTCTGTGACTACTACTGAAGATAAACATATGAAGATCAAATGTCAAAAAAGGAAAATCTTAAATTTCCTTTGTAATTTTTTAGTGCCATGTCCTCCAGAATGTAGGTGACCATGACTCGCTAGATTACTTTTCTTTATTATTTGTGAATAGCCAAGCAATCTTGGGAAAGATAGTGGAGTGGTTTCCCATTGCCTTCCATTGTATATTGGTTTCCAATCAGGACCTTCTAAAGGCAAGAAGAATGAAAATATATTATTAACTCAAAGTGAACCATAAGACCAGGGGAGAAGCGAAACATTGTTTTCTTATTAGAAACCAGCAGCAAGCCACTTAAAATAAATCAGGAAGGAATAAATTTTATTACAAGTATGTATCTCTTAGAACCTGAACACTAGATTCAGAATCTGAAATAAAGCCAACACACACTAAAACATCACTGATGCTGAATTGATTAAATACAAATCACTGTGATCAAAACACTCCTACTGAAAGACATGTCTCTAAAAATCTATAAAGAACAGAGTCAAGCTCTGTTAGGTCAGTACTAATTTTATACACACAGCTAATGCATCACTTGCGCTTTTGAATCTCAGCCAAAAATTGATTGTGGATATTTTTTTATGAAGAACATTAAATGGTAGTCAAATAACACTAGTGGCCTGATTTCCAAAATGAATGGTAGCTTTAGTGGGAAAAAGGAATGATAGTAACATACCTCAGAATCAGCAGATCCACGAGCATTGTTAGTCTTGGTAAAGGGGTCTGACTCTTCTTCCTCTTCCTCATCATCAAATAAATCTAATCCAGCAACTTTAGCTCTGGCCCGACTGAAAGTAAAATAATTATAAGAAATATATAACTGTATTTAAGGGCATAAATTAGTGCATGCATTTAAATATATATATATGTCATAAGAATAATTAAACAGACATGCACTCATTAACATTTTTAGCTTGACATAAACAAGTATTTTTCATGGATTGCTAATTCATTTTTCTTTTTTACTGATATCAAACTGGACCATTTCCTATTGCTTTTCTTTCACAACTGAATTGCACTTTCTTTATCTCAAGTACAAACTGATCTACTTGATGTTTTAATTGATTCTTTTGTGAACATGTAAATACCAATATAAATGAAAGCAGTATAAATTGGAAATGGAAAAAGTTCTCATGGAATCAAGTAAGTGAGCATTCATAACAATCTTGTTTACAAAATTCAGATGTATATATAAAATTAAAAGTGTAATCTTGCAGCAAGTGTGCAAACTGTATTAACAATTCACTTGTAAAAATGATAAAAAAAATCACTTTGGACAATGTCTATCTCACCTCTTCTTTATTCCAGAAGAGAAAAGTGTTTTCTTTTCTACCACACATTGATTTGTTGATACTTCCTTTCCTATCAGCTCTCTTCTTCTTTTCTCTTTGTTTTCATCTTTTAAAAATCTATAAAAACTTATGTAGAATAACCATACAAACTCTTATGGTGGGCTTAATAGAATAAAATTAATTTGAAAAAACTACAAATTTCTTTTAAAAATATGACTCAAAATAGACTACTATATAAGCAAATTAAAATATGCACCCTTATTTTAAAACCTTGAATAATAACTCACTTCTAGTGCATCATCATAATTTCTGATGAAATAATAATCAGTTTGCTATACCATGAATTATTTTATTCAAATTATTCATTTAATTTATGACCAAAAGGACAAATTTTAAAATATTAACTTTTGAAGAAATGTGTAACACATTTCTTTAATATTATGTGGGAAAAGAAAAATACATTATTTCTATTGAAAAACCTAGATATAAAATTCTATTGAATTAAATTGTATGTAGAATTTAACTGGAAAATAACAATAAAAACAAAATATCAATAAAAACACTGAACTACAAAATATTTTCACCCTTGTAGTTTTTGTACAGTTATTAAGTAACTAAAAGTCTAGTTTAATGGTAAAAAATAATTACTACAATTTCAAAAATTATTTTGTCATTAGCAGCATTTACTTTCATTTAAAAATATTGCTTTTGATTATATTACAATTGTCATGTCAGTATGCATTTTAAAAAATTGTCAAAATTAGCATATTTTGTTTATTAATACTAACATTGAAAATGTAAGAAAATAAAAATGATATTTTGGCATATTTTATATTTTTTAAGAAATAAAACATGTGCAGTTTATGAAAAATGATTGAATGTGTCAAAAATTTGCAGTTTCCTGCTGAGAATTTATTGCTGTATGATATTCTATGGTTGGATAGATCAGTTAAGGTTGTTATCAATCAAATCAAAGTGATTTTTCAGAATAATCAGCATTATACAATACAGAAGAGCCATATATAGTCAAAATATCTAAATAGAGAGTTGAAAAATCATATTTGCACCGGCTTTGATGTGTGACTGCCCCCTCCCCCACTAATTTTTTCTATTTAAATATAATTAAAACAATCTGTTCTTTTTTTTGTGAAGATAGGTACTTTATATCAAATGTAGAAATCAATAAATAGCCAAATAATTAATCAGATCAACAACAATCAAGACAACAATTGATAAAATGTATCTGGAATTAGTTGAGAAAAGATACAATATTCCATCAGAAAAATGCTAAACTGCATGCTTTGTTGATAACCAAAGAAAAATTGTTTCAGCTTGGCTGGAAATTTTTCACATATCTACGTTCACTAGATCTTCAGATTACCACTGATTCCAGTCTATATAATTCTTGTAATGAAAAAAAAAAAAAAAACAAACCCTTCCTTGTAAGACTGTAAAAGGCATCATGAACAATTCTTTACTCAGAAGGATAAGAATTTCTAGGAAAATGATTACAAGTGTACCTGAAAAATGATAGAAGACAGTGAAACAAACTGTAAATGTTAAAGTATATCCAACCAAAAAAACGATTGGTTATTGTGGAAAGAACCAAATTTCTAGTGTTAAGACAAGAGTCTGGAGAACCAATATGGAAATATCTCAGTAGACTAAGAGATACTAGTAGGTATTGTGACTTTAATGAACTTGGATGAAAAAGAATGACAACAGAGGAGGAATTGATTCAGCTTTGACTGGTGGAAGGATTATACAATACTACACAGACTTAAAGCTTTGGAGAGGTTGCAATCCAATAATATGAATTTGGAAGCATTTGGAAAAATGGGGAAAGATATGCGATAATTGTAGAAAAAAAGAATCATTTTAAAGCTATGTGTAAATGGCAAAGTAACAATGTAAAAAAAAGTGGAAATAGTACAGGATGGAAAAAAAAAAAAAAAAATCAGATGTTTTTGTGATAGAAATGAAAAACAAAAGGAATACGTTCAAGAGTATAAACTTGAATGGTATAAATTTAAAGATGCAAGTCAACCCAGGAAGTGAGGTAACTCTCATTCTTAGAAATTTTTAGGAAAAATTGATGTGACTGAAGTTAAGAAAATTAAGAAGAAGTCCAGTAAGACTAGAACAATTTGATGGAACCTGTATCAAAATGTTAGGTTCCTTTTAAGGGACATTTGAAACAGCAAAGAGATTTGAAACTGATATGTCCCGGAAAGGGATATATTTGTTCGAAGTAGCAAAGTGTTTGTTGACACTGGAACCGGGTAGGACAATCTAGCAGGTAACCGTAATGGATGGGTCCTTGTTGTAGTGGTAGGCAATAGGCGAAGACAATAGGTGTCGTCCATGTACCTCCACATCAGCCTGTATTTATGGTTGACACCAGTCAATCCTATTACTGTGAGGGGGAACCCAGGTGTATGCATATTCATTACATCACCTCCCCCCAAGCTAAATTTTCCCATGAAATTTAGCTTCAATATTTTCTCTTTTTAGGGTCTGGACTTTTCCCTAAGTTTTTTTTGCCTCAATCCTCCTTGCAGTGGTGGTGTTTGGCACACTGGTACCTCTGGCCTTGAGGTCGGGGATACCTACATTGGTGAATGTTGACTTACTGGAATGGGAATTTCAAATGCGTCATACAGGACTTCCATTGGAATCTCTTCGGTATTTTCCATGACCTCTGTAGTGTGTCTGGGTCTCAATTGATTCCAATGTCTTTTGCACCAAAATTTTTCCCCTTTTATGTCATATATGACCTGTCCAATTCTTTTGGTTATCACTCCTTCTTCCCAACACCTTTTCCCAGCCTTAAAGTTCTTGAAAAAAAAAAAAAATTGTCACCTGGCTTATATGCTTTAGTCATCTGGTTTTCTTTTTTAGCAGTTTTCTTCGCTGGACTAGGCAACAGCCTGTTGAACACAGAGTGTATTTTTCTCACAAACATTAACTCTGCTGGCGATAACCCTGATGTCGTATTCGGGTTTGGCGTGATTCTATATACTGCCAAAAATTTCTGAATACTTCTTTCATTTGTGTTCACGCCTTGGTTTTTCTTCAATGCTCATTTAAAGATGTCCACAAATTTTTCCACCTGTCCATTCGATCTTGGATGATGTACTGGTGTTGTCACATGATCAACATGATCTACAGAATTCCTTGAATTCTCTTCCTGTAAACTGCGTTCACTTGTCGCTGACTAAAGTTTTAGGGAGTCCAAAGCGACTAAAAATTTCATTAAGTGCGTTTACTGTATTTGTTGCAGTCGGATGTCTGCACTTAACAATTTCTGGCCACTTAGTGAAACTGTCTACAATGATCAGGTAATAAGATCCATTTATGGGCCCTGCATAGTCGATATGCAATCGAGTCCATGGGACATCTGTCTTTGGCCATGGTTGAATCTTTACCGGGGGATCCCTTGCTGCCAGTTGACATCCTCTGCACTGTTTCACCAAATTTTCTATGTCTTGGTCCATCCTTGGCCAATAAGTATAGTCTCTCATTAGAGATTTAATTCTCGAAATCCCTGGATGGCCAGTATGAAATTCTTTCAGAATTTTCTTTTGCAGAGTAACCGGCATTACAACTCTATCTGCATATAGTAATACCTGTTCACAGATTGAAAAAGGTGACACATTAATTCCTTTTTTAGTTGTCTCATTCAACCAGACTTGCTTTTTCGTTTTTTTAATGAAATCATCATTCACCACTGCTTTTTTCACATCTTCTAGCGTAACCAGTAGTTCTCCAATAGTGTTGCATAACAGACCCGACAATTCACTTTCGTCTCTTAGCGCCGTTATTACTGTTTCTTCCAGTAGTTCCGTATATTTAGGTATCAATCTTGATAACCTATTGGTGTGACCTAGCTTCTTTGAAGGCACATATTCTATTTTGAAATTATAATTCAATAGAATTACACCCCAATGCTGTAGTCGATTTGCAGTGTGGGTTGGTATACCTTTTTTTGAACCAAATATTGTTAACAGCGGTTTGTGGTCTGTTTGCAGAATAAATTCTCTTCCATATAGAAACCTGTGAAATTTTTTACAGCATAGATTATTGCTAAACTATCTTTCGATTTGACTGTAACTTAATTCTGCAGGTAGTAATGTTCTCAAAGCATGTGCTATTGGCTTCGTAGATCTGTCCTTGAATTCATGAAGCAATACCGCACCTAATCCCTCATTACTGGCATCTGCTGCTACAATGATTTTCCTCTTCAGGTCAAAATGCACTAACGATAGGTCTGCTAATAGACAGCTTTTTATTTTTTTTTTAAATGCCTGTTCGCATTTTTCCACCATATCCACTTTGCACCTTTTTTCACCAAATTATTTAAAGGGGCTCTCGTATCATACATTTTTGGGATATAAATGCTATAGTAACTGCCTAATCCCAAGAAGGCCTGGAGTTTAGCCACATTATCAGGTGCTGGCATATTTTTTATAGCCTCAGCTCTTTCTGGATCCAGT